CTCGTAATATAGATAGAGCCCCTGAAGGAAAGGGTGCACTGGAACCCTAAAACCCCGCTTGAAGAAATCTTCGAAAACCACAATCTCACCTGGTTGTGGATCGGGGTACCCCTCGCCCTTCGATGCGCGCCATCCTGCGAGTTCCTTGTTGTGGAGCACTCCCATGATGACGAGGTCTTCGATGGTCTGCTCGTTGCTTCTCGACTTCCACCACTCCTTTGCCATGACTCCGACTTTCTTCTGGGCGTCACTTTTCGCCATGAATCCGGCCTTGCTGATGAAAGCGGATATGGTGGAGGAGTGATTGGTGATGATTTTGGAGGTATTAAGGTTGGCAAGAGGAAGAAGAAGGCTGTGGCGGCGAATGGTAATGGGGTTCGGTAAAAAGTAACTTACCAATTCTATACTATATTTAACCAAGAGTTCCGCCGTTTCGTCTACCCGAGATTCTTGGGAGACGTGCGCACGCGCCGCAGACGATTGTTTTCACAACCTCGAGATCTATGTCAATATATGCGCCTCTTCGTTATCAGTGTATGCGCCTCTTCATTACCAATGTGACAGGGCCCACATTGACGCACCTCCTTACAGGTGCCAAGTGACAGTTTGCTTGAAAGGATAAGAAGGCAGTATGACGTGTTGTACTTGTCTACTTTTTTTACTAGACGTGTCATATTGGACTGGACAGAGTAAGAAGATAAATAAATACGCCAAATAATAGTACAAGTGGCATTTGGTTCTTCGCCGCACGTCTCGTGCTCAGGGATGGCCCAGACCACTACCGTGCTCGGGGACTGCCCAGACCACTACCGTGCTCGAGGACTGTCCAGACCACTACCGTGCTCGGGGACTGTCCAGACCACTACCTTGCTTGGGAACTGTCCAGACCACTACCGTGCTTGGGGACTACTTCGACCACTGCTGTGCTCGGGGATTGTTCTGACCACTGCTCGAAGATCGCTCTCCTTGGCTACATGTGATTTGTACTTATATACAGTCGAGAAGCATTTATTTGGACCTTGCTACAAGGCTCATACCTCGCCTTCCAGCAAGCTCGGGGACTACATCGGTATGATGCACCTGCCGGTGCATCTTGTATCGCCTGTACGACGATTGGATTCTCAACTTAACTGGGCATTCTTTTTAGACCCTGGCACCACGTGCCTACGTCACCTACTACCAGGCTCGGGGACTAAGTGGGCACACTTCACCTTGCGGTGAATGTGTTTATCTTATCGACCCCTACGCTTTGACTGATTGCCAGAATTACTATTGTCTAAGAGGCACTTACATTTCTTTTTAGAAATACAAGTGGGCACACTTGATAAGGAAAGAAATATTTTTCTTTTTTCTTTAAGAGCACCATGCATTCTTCGGACAACCAGAATCTTCAGCTATAATCATGGTTTACTGCTCTCTGTTCTGACTAGAATGTTGGCACATTCGGTTGGACAATGTTTCAATCAATTGGAGATGACATGAAGACGGATTGCATTAGTCGAAGGAGATCGAACGGCGTGTCGCAGCATAATACATGGTGCTCGGGGACTAGCTATGGGGGTATTAACCCCTATACCCTTATGGCTAGGCTCGGGCTGGCCCGGACTAGGGGATCTGGCTCACTAGAAGACGATGCGCGGTCCAGCCAATCTGTTTGGAGTCCCGCGCAAGGAATCAAGGCAGATTTGGAGATCAAGCAAGATCCTGATCGGTTAGAATAGGAATCCTTATCCGGCCACCTATGACAGTTGTAACTGATTAGGATTAGTTTCTAGATCTGTAACCCTGCCCCCTAGACTATATAAGGCGGGCAGGGGACCTCTCTAAAAAACACATCTCATTAACATACAACAATACAATCAGACGCAGGACGTAGGTATTACGCCCTCACGGCGGCCAAACCTGGATAAAACCTCGTGTCTGTCTTGCGTCATCATCTTGTTTGTAGCTTGCGCACCTGTCTGCCGACAATCTACTACCTTGGGCATACCCCTAGGTAGACTGTCGACCATATTTCATCGACACACAGGGTGGAGCGCGTGCGGGGAGATGGCTGCTGCGCCAAATGAAGAGTGAGCGGACGGACGACGTCGAAACGTGCGATGGGCGAGGAAGTGGGTAGGTATTTTTGAGAGAGAAAGATGTGGGAGGCCTAAGGAGAAGGAGGTTGGCTTGGTGGGCCGCGTAGGCCTAGGAAGGCGCTCCTGATCGATAGACGCCTGCCCCTGAGCATTACCGCCATACTAATGCGCACGAATTGTGACAAGATGCCCTAGCCCATGGATCGTGAAAGGATCGTATCCATCTGGAAATAGTCAACTTTGTCTCCCTCATCTATCACAAAAGTTTAATTTTCCTCCCTTAACTAGAAAATCAGACATAACTCATCCTCCATCTTTTCAAACCGGGCATATGACCTCCTTGATTGTTTCTCTAGGTGGTTTTCTCTTTTTCTTTTTTATTTATTTTAGCTAAATCTTTAAAAAATTATAGTAAACTATAGAAAAATCATAAAATGAAAATTTCAAATTTGTTAGACTCCACATGAGTTGATCTCTACATTAAACATATGATATGGTATGCTAATAAAATTTTTGCTCTACCTTTAGATCTATGTTTTTCTGTAATTAATTCATACCTACAGTTTATGTGGTCCTATTATAGTGAAATTTTTATGGTGAACTAGTATGCTTGAGATGTAGTAAAAATTTCATACTTATTGGATCATATATGACTGAGTTATAGATTTATTTAGGTTTATGCTTATCTACATCTATATCTATGCCTAATACTAAAGAGGCAAAATTTCTAGCTTGTTTTTTCGTCCCGCCTTGCCCTCACTGGGTCGATCTTGAATACGGGCTCGGGCTCGCTGTGCAAACTGACACTAGGAGTGGGGAAGAGAATAGAAAGGAATACGGGGTTCCAGATGTAAATATGTTAGAGAGAAAGAAAAGGTGGAAGGACCTTAATAGTTTTTGAAATAGATCGGGGTTCCTGATGCAAAATGTCCAAATCCGAGTGGAGCCTCTCCTGGTGGGCTTATTTTTTGACCTGGGCCGAATCCTTGCAGTTGGGGCAGCTTAATTGTGGGCTGGACCAAGCCCATACAAGCCTTTTTTTTTTCTTTTCTTTAGTTTTTCTCTTTTTCTATAAAACAGAGATCTTGCAAAATCCACCAAAAATCATAGAAAAAGGAAAAAAAATACCAAACCAGTTTTGTTAGTTCCATAAAAAAGTGATTTATCCATAGATGTTATGAATCTTGTTAGGTTATGCTTTGTCTATAGGTATGTTAAATCATCCTTGCATATGTTGCATGCATATAGGTTCGGCGATGACCGAGAACGTGCCAGAGGTAGACTCGGAATACGCGGAGGATGTCATCATCATCGGTGTTCCTGAAGCCTTCACTAACTTTTCGTTTGTCTGTTTCCTGCCCAAGGCAAGCGTCGGTGCATAATCCCTACTTTTCAACACTTAATGTTTATTTTCACATTAAGTTTTGAGGGCAAAGATTTACACCATCTAATGTAGTTTTGGTGAGAAACAAAACTTATTTTTATTAAAATATTGAGAGAATTTTTTATTTGACACTGGGAAAATGAGTCAGTTCCTTTCTTGGCCCTGAAATTTTCTTCGTTCTCTATTTGACACTCACTTCAACTTTCATCCCTAATTTGACACTACCGTCAAATTTGTTAGCTAACGGTGTTAACTAGCTGTTAAAAAGACGTTTTTGCCCCTAGAAAAAAAGCGGCGAAGCAAATTTGAGAGGAAAAAAAACCTGCGCCTTTTTTTGCAGCTGGGCGCATGCATTAGAGGCGGGCGCAGGTTTTTTTCCTCTCAAATTTGCTTCACCGCTTTTTTTCTAGGGGCAAAAACGTCTTTTTAACAGCCAGTTAACACCGTTAGCTAACGGATTTGACGGTAGTGTCAAATTAGGGATGAAAATTGAAGTGAGTGTCAAATAGGAAACGAAGAAAATTTCAGGGCAAAAAACGGAACGACTTATTTTCTCAGTATCAAATAAGGAATTCTTTCTAAAATATTAGTCATGGTATAACTAATTATTTCGTGAACCGAAATCTTGGGCAAATTATTGTCTAATAAAATCTAAACAAATGTGTTTATGTAATTCCAGACAAGGCATCCCATGTGAAAAATCAAGAGAAATCTCCCATCATAATCTTTGGTGGACAGACCAATCCTAACATATCGACAAAAAAGTTACGGAGGTTGATATGATGCGTAAAAAAGCTACAAAGGTCGATATTGAATCATAGAAACATATCGGTAGTATGAAAAAAGCTACATAGTTATGATATATTTATATCTAAATAATTATGCACTTTGTAACGGAAGGAAAAATATATCAAGGTGTATTTTTATTCGATACAGGTCTAATAGGACATTGTTATTTATTGTCAGCATTAATTTATATGGATGTGACGGTCATCATAAAATAAATTATAAAAGCATAAAACATAAGTAGATATGTATCATTCACGTTATTGTTTTGTATGAATGTTTAGTAGTTTTTTTTTCTCCCGTTGCAACGCCAACAGATATATTTGCTAGTTAAATAGTTAGAAGTGTATAAAATTTGAAAATGTGTGTTCTCTGTGTAAGTTTTTAAACACTTAACATAATCATGTTGGCATAAAGAAAATTACTCAGTCATACATCTATTCAAAAATGTGTTTAATAAGCATAATCATGTTGTCACAGATAACATAACCATGTTTTTAAACACTTAACATAATCAAGCTGACCGCCGACGCTCCTTCTAAAAAAAAAACTGACGGCCGACGCTGCTCCTCTACGGGCTGCTCTCCCCTGCCGCGGCCCGTGATTTGAAGCTCGATCTGGACCGCACTACAACTAGGATTCATCTCGATGCAGCCCAACTAGCCCATTCACCATTCCTCTCAACCATTTCGCCGCTCTTCGAATTCGAAAGGCGGCGGCGTCCCTACCTTCGCCGGATTCCGCCACCGATGGATCCCGCGGCGCCGGGGAGGTTCGACAAGCTCCAGAGCTCGTTCAAGCTCACCGTCCAGTGCCTCCTCACAGCCTGCTCCCGCGAGGTTGGTTGGTTTCGTTCGCTGGCTCGCCCTACTACCCCTTCCTCAACTCCCGTTTCCTCCCCTGGCGATGCTGGTCTCGCTAGGGTTTGAGCCAGCGGAAGAGCACATATCCTGGGCGGGGATTCGATTTCCCAGTTGGTCGTGCTACAGAAATGTGGGATCAGCATTCGATTGACTCGTGCTCTTGAGCGTTTCAGGTTGTCAATGAGGCTTTCTCGTCGTTCACCGATGCCGAGGAGCGTCTGCACCGAATGCTCACCCTCGTGAGTGTCCTGATCTATGCCCTGTCCAATAGTTACGATGTGCAATGAACTTGTAAATTATTTCATCCTTGCGATACCTACTAATTTGAATGCCGCGCAAAGTTCAGTTCTATTTTTTTGCGGTCAAAAGTTCAGTTCTGCATCCGGCTAGTGTGAGTGTCTGTGTGTGACTCATGTAGATTAATCCATTTTTGTGTTTTTTTTTTTCAGGTGATGAAGAATATGCATGCCAACATAATGGTACAGTTTTTTGTTCCTGAAGGGTCCAATTCCTGAATAATATCAGTTTAGCATTCAGATTTTGTTCAAATACATGCCATTCTACCATTGATTTCTTAACTACACCTCCCTTTTGTAGTGGCATTACATTCCTAGCTTACTACTTTACTAGCAACGAGGACATTCCGTGGATTAGAAACAAAACCTGTGCTAAGGGTTATGTTATTATACAATGCCTTTCTGCCTGTCTCTCACTATGTTTTCTGCTGCCTCACTTGCACGGTTTACCACTTGTATCTAATATAGAAGCATGCATTCTTAAATTACAAAACTGATATCGCTTCTGTTCTGTTTGCCAAGCCTGATGCAGTTAGTTTATATTTATCTTCCTTCCTTTGCATGTGCGAGCATTGTATTGAACTTAATATGTTATAATTTGTTTTCTCTTCTTATTGCAGGATGAGTTTAACGACTTCTGCCGAGAAACACAGGTAACTTTGAAATCAGTATTTTCCCAAAAACGTCGACAGATTTTCATCACAATTGTGGATTTTCAACAAAGTATGTTTCTGATTAATTAACAGTTCAACTCAGTGAGACATATTACCATTTAGATATTGTTTATATTCATATTTATTCATATTTATAGTTGTAGCAGCACTATAAATATAAAAGGAGCTCTTACGTCTTACCCACCAAATACTATGGGAATTCTTTTAAATTCAATGGGTTGGACTGGTTGCGATTTGGTTGTACTTCACCACAAAGTATATGAGGGTATCATTCATGAAGGGGGTGAAACTGTACTATATGTTGTTAAATCCGTAATTTAAATGTATCTTATCCTCTGCGTCTACTGCTATAACGACAAATGTTACCATTTAGAAGTTCAACCATGGAAGTCATTTTCTTAATAAGACAGGTTATGGAGCGGTATAGGGAGAAGAAGAAGGACCTACACATGGTTTTTATTGACTTGGAGAAGGCTTATGATAAAATACCAAGGAATGTTATGTGGTGGGCTTTGGACAAACATAAAGTCCCAACGAAGTACGTCGGGCTCATTAAGGACATGTACAACAATGTTGTGACTAGTGTTCGAACAAGTGATGGAGACATGGATGACTTCCCAATTAGGATAGGACTACATCAAGGGTTAGCTTTGAGCCCTTATCTGTTTGCCTTAGTGATGGATGAGGTTACAAGGGACATACAAGGGGACATCCCTTGGTGTATGCTTTTCGCGGACGATGTAGTGCTAGTTGATGAAAGCCGAACAGGAGTGAATCAGAAACTGGAGTTATGGCGGAAGACTCTGGAGTCCAAAGGTTTTAGACTCAGTAGAACTAAAACTGAGTATATGAGATGTGACTTCGGCACTACTACTCGGGAGGAGGAAGATATTAGTTTGGAAAGTCAAGTAGTGCCTAGGAAGGATACCTTTCGATATTTAGGATCAATGCTACAGAGAGACGGGGATATTGATGAAGATGTTAGCCATAGAATCAAAGCAGGGTGGATGAAGTGGCGCCAAGCATCTGGTGTCCTATGTGACAAAAGGGTACCACAAAAGCTAAAAGGCAAGTTTTATAGGACGGCGATTAGACCTGCAATGTTGTATGGTGCAGAATGTTGGCCTACGAAAAGACGACATGTTCAACAGATAAGTGTCACGGAAATGCGTATATTGCGTTGGATTTGCGGTCATACAAGAAGGGATCGAGTTCGGAACGATGATATACGTGATAGATTAGGGGTAGCACCAATTGAAGAAAAACTTGTCCAACACCGGTTGAGATGGTTTGGACATGTCCAACGGAGACCTCCAGAGGCACCGGTGCGTAGTGGAATCCTAAGCCAGGATAGTAACATGAAGAGAGGCAGAGGAAAACCGAAGTTGACTTGGGTAGAGGCAATAAAAGGAGACTTGAAATGATGGAATATACCCAAAGACTTAGCCTTAGATAGGAGTGCTTGGAAAACAGCTATTCACGTGCCTGAACCTTGATTGCTTCTGCTGGGTTTCAACTCTAGCCTACCCCAACTTGTTTGGGACTTAAAGGCTTTGTTGTTGTTGTTGTTATTGTTGTTACCATTTAGAAGTTCAGCCTTCAGCAACTGGTTTTGTCAATCAAGTAATCAGCAAGTAGAGGCTGCACATTACTTAATAGGCTTAGCCTGTGCCCCTCCATTCCTTTGTATTTTCTTGTCTTTCTAAGAAAAGACTCTGACCAGGGGGAGACATTCCCCAGATTTTGCCCTTAAGAAGTTTGTGCAGACCTTTGAACCCAGACAGGTAACGGGGGTTTCATCAACCCTCGAACTTCAACAGTCTTACCAGTGCTACCCTCCATTTTTTTGTCTCCTTGTCTCTTAATTTCTTTCATATGTTCGTAGGCACTATTTAGAAGAGCTGCTCCATCTTAGATCTGGAGTTTTTGTGCTTAAATCAAGAATGTTAAGACAGTTTTTGTCTATAATAGAAGGAAAACAGCTCAAACAAACAACTCAGGAGATTTTTGGACCTGGAGCTCTGCTAAACCGTTACTCCTTTTTTCAGGATTCTTGCTCTTAATTGCCTTAGCAGGCTAGCGCATAACAACCATTCTTCTGATTTAACAGAGAAACACATGTAGTAGAATGATTTCTCATCAATATAAAGCAGTATGGATGTGCACTTGGTGTTTTCTGGTTTCTGACAGACCGGGCATGAAAGTGAATGGGTTATTGGGTTTTGAATTGTGTCTGGGACGACAGTAGAGATGAACATGATATGGAGAAAATGAGGCAGACAATTTTAACATGACTTTGACCATGGGCTGCTAGTTAATATCCATCAATTCACAATGATATTGTTTCAGGAAAACTTGAGCATTAGTGCCACCTTGAATTAAAACAAAATTCTTATTATCTCTAGAAAACAAGTAATTAAGTTTTAACAGTTTAACATATCCCTGGTATACTAAGGGCCAGTTTATGTAGTACTCCTTTACGCTTTTGTAGTGCTTGGTAGAAGGTACTACGTTTTCTCAGGTGTAACAACATCATTTCATTATTTTAGGTGGCTGCCGCCCTTGACAAGATAGATGACTTTGTTGAATTGCAAAATCTGGATGCATTATCTTCAGAGAAGTAAGTGATTTATGCTTTACCTTGAAGTCTACCCCCCCTCTCTCTCTCTCTCTTTTTTGAAATTTCAGGGCTTTGAATACTAGGCTACGATTGTTATGATGCATCCAATGCCCTCGCTTTTATGTTTGAGAACTAGTATATAAGTACATCAAGATATTCCTTTCGTGAAATTTAGCATAGCCTTTTCTTCACTTGTTTCTGTTTTAAGTTACCCAATATAGTTCATTTGATTGCAGGACTACTGTCGAAGAAATCGAAGAAAAGGTCTCAAGAGCAAAGAAGGATGAAATTGAACATTTGACGGGTTTACTGAAAAAGGTATTGAATCGGTTTTGCAGACTATGGGTGTGGCAAACTTAGGCTTAGGCGGCCTTGATTCACGGCCAGTTGAACCATGTGTACAGCCCGCAATGTGGCTGTAGGGAAAACTGGAGAGCGATACATGCGGGTGTTTGGGTATGCATGAGTGTGGCAGTCCTACATAAATGAATGCAAATCTGAATAATGAGAGTCGAATTTATTAGTTGCATGACATTGTCCTAAAATATGTGAGCCCTTTGGGTGGGCATGTAATCGTCTAGAGGTGTTGTGTTTACTCGGTAAATTGAATAACTATAGTTCTCTCTTGCTCCAAGAATTGCTAACCCAACTTAACGTGTCCTATCTAGTGTTAATAACTGTTACTTGAATTTGCAGTAGATTAGTACAGCTTAGGGCGTGTCTGTGCAGCAGCTAGTCTCCTTCATGATGCACCAAGGCTTTATATGAGCTCATTGATCTAGGGAGTCAATTTGGTTAAAATTGTATGGTTGCACACTATATGAGAAAGATGCTTGTATGTAGGAAATGTGTTTAATAATTACTTCCCTGGGTGTTTGCATTATGATAATGAAGTCTGAATAAATTCTGAGAAAAAAATGATAACTTAGTGGTTGGCATAAATCCATAGGCATAAATTTCTAAACCAGTCCCTTAAGATAATTAGAAAGATGTAGGGTGGTATTTTCCAGGCTTTCCAGATTGTTAAAGAACATGAATTTTTGTGGTCTGAAGCTCCCACTATGAATGATCTAATTGTCTGTACAGTTTTGCCATCTTAAAAGTTCAGTCCTCTTACTAGCATGAATCCAGAGTTATAAATCCCCTTATGAAGTTCCCTGGTCCTTAAGCATGTTGGGTGGAGTGACGGTGTTGACTTTAAGGATAGCCAATGATTCTATTAAAATGTAGAGCCTTTTACTTGTATGCCATTAAAAAAGATGGTCTATGTCCCTAAAAAGTTCGATCTATCGTCAGTGTCCAAGCTCGAAATTTTTTTCTCTCTCACACCATTCTGTCCGCCTTCTGTTTGATTTGCGCCGTTTGGCTGTCCTGACGAGTGGGGTCCGCTGTGGCAAATGACCTCAGTTGCCCCTTGCCGTTGGAATTAGAGGTGGAGGCCGTGTTGACCGGTATTGACCGCTCTCACTCTCCTCATCTGGCTCGACTCCTCCGCTCCCTCCTCTATCCCATCACCGAAACCCAAACCCTAGCAGCGATTGTGGGCGGTGGCGTCGGGCGACTGAGCGTCAGCGGGCTATGGCGGCTAAGGGGAGACAAGAATCCCATCCCTGGTTGCGGCGGGGCATGGGATAGTGGAGCAAGGGAGGTACCGTGGGCAGCCCGGATTGGCGGCGCATGGCGGCGAACATGGCGGCGGCCGAGCGCCCTTCATGGTTTCGAGACGGGTGAGTTCATCTTCTCCTTTGCTTGCTTGTTCGTGGTGATTGTGGAGAGCTAGGATTGTTGTTGCTTGCTCTTGCTAGTTTGTTTCCCCCTTTGTGATTGTTGTTGTTCATCTGTAGGATGGACCCAATTAGTAGCTACAATCTAGAGTTTCGGATTATTGCTGAAAATATGCGTGGGGGGAAGTGGTATGGCGTGAGTGAAGTTGTGGATGCTGATCGTGCAAACTACAGAAATGTGGTTGAAGGTATTGTGGATAAGTATCCTGGGCGCTATGGGGATACTTACAGTGTGTTTTACTGGTGCCATGACACAAAGATGAACATCCCCCTCACCAATGACCATGACTTAGTTGAAATGTTTGCCAAAAATAAAGCTTCCAAGTGTTGTTGGATGAGTTTAGCCTACTATAAACCCAACACTGTGCCTCCTGTCATCCCTTCTTGGGATCCAATTACTGAGCAATCTATTGAACCACCCATCACTCCTTCAATGGCCACTCCTTCCATTGCCACTCCTTCCATTGCAGAATCAACCCAGACACAGAGCACAGCATGTGCAGATGATGACATTCTGGCAAACCCAAACCCAGAGAATGAGCATATGGGTGTTGATGAAGGTTTGTACCTTGACCTTCCACCACCTCCAAAGCCACAGCAACCAACACCTCCAGAAGATCAGATCCAAACTGCCACCACTGAAAGGTGTCCAAGTCCAAAGCCAGCTGAATTTGAAACTGAGAGTGATGCTAGTTCAGGGTCTGATGATGAGTTTGATCCTGAAATGGACCCTGATGAGGCAGATGAAATGGTTAAGGACCATGAGCCTGACTACATGGCACCTCTTGAGTATGACAAAAGGAACCCCCCCCCCATGTGTGTTGGAAGCATGTATCCAGACATGTTTGAATTTAAGATGGCTTTAGCTACTCATGCTGCAATAAAAGAGAATCGATATTTCATTCCGAAGAGTGATACAGGAAGGTACCGAGTGTACTGCCTCTGGAGGAATGAAGGTTGCCCTTGGAGAATCCATGCATCAACCATGAGGGATGGCAAAACAATTCGGTGATTTCCTCTTCTAAGTTCTAATTGGTGCTTCCATTGTTATATATTCAAACTTGGTGTTTTCATTGATGTTTGCATGTTGTTTTCATTGTGAGTTAAGAAGAATCCATCTATCCATGAATGTTAGAGCTGAGAAGAGGACTGGTGTTCTGTAGGTTTTGCACTCAAGTATTGGGTTTGTGAGAGAGTTATTGTATTTGAAAGAAGATGGGACTTTGGGTACTACTTGAGTTGATTAAGAAACTCAAGGATCATTTCAAAGTGGAGATGCCCTACATGAGAGTGTACTATGGTAAGAACCTTGCTATGGACAAGCTTTATGGGCCATGGGACAAGAGTTTTGACAACTCGCATCTGATTCAAGGCATGCAGATAGAGAGTGAGAGTCTGGGTCAATGGTTGTGATTGATAACCACATAATAAACAACAAGCTCAGATTCAATGAGCTTTTTTTTCAATGAAGGCTTGTGTTGATGGATTCCTTAGTGGTTGTAGGCCCTATTTGGCAATAGATAGCACTTTCTTGTATGGTAGGTTCAGGGGCCGTTTGTGCATAGCATGTGCAGTTGATGGGCACTGTTGGATGTATCCGATTCTTTGTAGGTGTCATAGATTCGAAACCAATAAGAAGCTGGGTGTGGTTTATGGAGAAGGTGAAAGAAGCAATAGGCACCCAGATGGTCTCTGCATAAGCACAGACTATGGACAGGCAGTGATGCATGGGGTCAGTGAAGTTTTTCCTGAAGCAAAACATAGAGAGTGCATGTACCACCTTGTACAGAATTTTAAGAAGAGATACAATGGCAAAAATTTTGATGATCATCTTTGGGCAGTTTCTTATTCTTGGTCTGAGTATTGGTTTGACATCCATTATAATGCAATGGCTAAAGCCAAACCAGAGGCTATGAAGTATCTCATTCTGAGACTCACAAGAAGTTGTGGACTAGGAGCCGATACCTATTTGGCGACAAGGTTGACTATGTAACAAACAACTTGGCGGAGTCCTTCAACAAGTGGATAAAAGAAAGACAAAGGCAAGCACCTTGATGACTTGGTTGGATACTTTTAAGCGAAGTTGTTGATTAAATGGAATATGAGGAAAAAGTTGCAAACAAGTTTGAAGGGAAGATCCTACCTCACATTGTTAAGAAGTTGAGGGAGGATAGCTACAACTTAGACATTGATGTCATTACTGAAAGTGATGGAGTTGCAGAAGTATGTGCCAAGGGGAGCTGCACCAATGCATTCAGGTTTGTGGTGAAATTAAGACAGAGGACATGTGTATGCAGAGTGTGGCAAGGGACTGGATTACCTTGTAGGCATGCTATTGCCTACATCACCTCAATTCCAGGAGCAAAGCTAGAGGACTATGTAGATGACTGCTACTCAGTTGAGAAGTTCAGAGCTGCATATGGAGGTGTGATCCCATCCATTCCAGACAAGTCCATGTGGCCCAAAGCCACACATGGATTTTTTATGCACCCTCCTCTATTGAAGTCCACAGCTGGAAAAAGCAAGAACAGGCACAAAGGAGCACTAGAAGGAGGTAGCAGGAAGAAGATAAAGAGGCATGAGTGCCCTATATGTCATCAGTTAGGGCACCACTGGTACACCTGCAAAAATGGTGATCCAGCAGACATAGCTGCAGTGGAACAGCAAAGGTAAACATCATGACTTGTTTCATCAAGCTCTTTCATCACATTGTAATATTGGCTAACTTTTGCTTCATGTTGCCTTCAGGGGTCTCCCAAAGAAGAGGCAGAAGAAAGCAGCTTTAGCCAACATAGAGACAAGCATTGTTGTTGCTAGACAACCTGTTGAGATTGTTTACCCACCAAATGAGGTTGTAGATAATGCAGTACCCTAGAAAAGGAAGAGGAAGACTTCATCTGCATCAAGTGTCAAGAAAAGCAAGGCCTCATCTACAAGTGCATCAGCTTCAACTGGCAGGTATGGTTGTATGCATCTTTTTCATTTCATCTTTTTCATTTTATTGGTACTACTTTGTGACTGTTTGTTTACTTCATGAAGATCTGGAACTGGATCCAATGAACCTGTTCCTCTCCAAACTGTGTTCCTAGCCCCTAACCCTGCCAGCACTGAAGCAACAGGCAGTGCCACAGTGATGGCACCACTGAAGGAGCAGGAGTCTGTCCAGGTTGCCAGTCCTCCAAGGAAGAAAATTGCTGTCAAGAAGAAGCTTACACCAAGGAAGGATGTATGCCGGGTTGCAGCTGACCCTTCCAGCCCAGCTGCAAATACCAGAGGCAAGAAAAACCTAAGACAATGTTGGTGAAATGAACTGAACTGAACAATGTTGGTGATGGTTTCCTGTGATTTCCTGTGATGTTATGTAATGTTTGGACAAGTTAATGCTAGTTTCATCCAGTTTGGACTAATTTGATGTTGTTGATGTCATTTTGGTTCATGGTTAAGCATTGTTGTGGTCTAAAATGCCATTGCAACCTTCATTCATTGATTGTTCATCCATACGTGCATAAACATGCAATGGCAAACACACACACACCTACTTCTTCATTATTGCATACATGGCAAGAAATATTGCAAGATAGACCAGCTTCTCAATCCATTTAAGCTGCTGCATAACCCCATCTGCCCTGTCTTGAACTCCACCTCTGCCAGCAGCCTGGAAAGCTTCATTCATGTTGGCCACTTGAGCTGAAGCTGCTGTAGGTGCTGCTGCCACTGCCTGCATAGCCACTGGATCCATTGCCTGTATAGGCAAAGGAGTAGCATAGCCAGCCTGTGATGGAGTGACATCCATCTCAGCCTCCCACCTCCAGAATTGGCACCCACCAGCCTGAGCACCAGATTATTAGAAGAGCGCTCTTATTAGAACCACGAGCACAGATTAGAAGAACAAGAGCATAGCATGAACAAAGAGAGACAAACCGAGAAGTAGGGACACTTGTGGAAGACACGACTGGTGTTCTTCTCTGTCCTCGCGGTGAAGCGATTGGCCAGCACTCTACAGTTGGGGCAAAAAACGCGCCTAGTGAGCCGCCTCTCATAAGAGCTTGAACCTTCAGACATGGCCATGGAGAGGAGAGGGATTGAGTGGACAGAGAGGTGAGTGGGAATGGAAAGGAGGGGGTGACTATATATAGAGCAGGGCAAGTTGGCGCCAAGGCCAACCTTGTTGGTGCCAAAAGCCATCAGGTTGCCGCCCAGCAGGCAGTGGCACATGAGAAACAAAAGTTCCAGGGGCATTCAAGTCATTTGCCACCCACATTTCACACCGTTAGTGCTGCAAATAAACAGAATGGCGTGAGAGAAAAGTTTTTCAAGCTTGGACACTGACGATAGATCGAACTTTTTAGGGACATTGACAATTATACCATCTTTTTTAATGGCATACAAGTAAAAGACTCTAAAATGTACTCTTCATGTTTACTGTGCACGAGAGGATAAGTTGATGATTTGTTAAAGTTAGGCAAACTACACCTTAGTTACCTGTGTTAGTATATACTTTAATAGTTTAATTTTCTAACATAACTAAATAGGTCTCTGTCATTGGTTTTCAGTTAGAGCTTAGAGGAAGGAGTTTAAGCCTGAAATAATCAATATGTTTTTCCTTTAAAATGATTTATGAGCCTGTTCTTATGCTGATGATCAATATGTAGCCTTACTCAACCCTCAAGTGTTCCATTAATAGTGAATTAATCTTTGATTTCATAGGTTCTTCAGTTAACCTTGTGTTCATAACCTCTGTCTTCTGCAAAAGAGAATACTTGCAAAAAGGTTAGGTTGACATGTGGGGGTTAAGTTAAACACATGCCAATTAATCTAGTAATGGGAATAGAATAACCCCCTTCAGTCCATACATATTGGGAGGGATTAAGGGGGGAAATTAATTTATTTTCCACTTCAATCCACATGTATTGGTATGGAGGGATTGGTTCTATCCAAACAAGTCCTTAGTTTATTATCAAAGCTGGGTCTTTTATGCCCTACCATTGATAAGAAAGATCACTCTTAGTTGATACGACAAGGTAGTCATTTTTCTCACAAGAACATAGGATGAATGTGAGGCTATCACACATTCACACTCTTGAGTTGCAAGCATATTGATTAGTATCACATTGAGGTTTGAGCCTTTATGGACATTTGTTGAAGCTAGGAGATATCTTCCTTATGTGAATATGCATATCAGCATGGTTCTGTAACTTTGTATTGTTTTAGAAGAAATTTAAAACCTTTTTGGTTCGTTTCGCTACAAGTCAAATGGCAAGATGACTGCTGTTAGACTTATATTATTTGCATAGGGAAGCTACCCCTGCATATCAATTTTCATTGATAAAAAATGTTACAAGATGTGATCAGATGTAGTATCTTTGTGCTAAGTAAGTCTGTCTGGGTAAAGATATTAAACACTGTTAGTAAGTTGTTTGGGTAAAGATATTAAATACTGTTCGTAAGTTGTTTCCTGTTCACAAAAACATAGGTTGAAGAAAGTAACAATGTCATGAAAGCTCGAATTGAACTCCTGAAGTTAGGGGAGGATTCAACTGCTGCAAGAGATGTCCTCAATAAGGTTTGCTGGCCCCCAAACCCACTCACCCTCCAAATTGTACCATCTGTTTTTTCTATTACTCGTCTCAGTTTGATTGGATCTCTTGGATGTTTTCTTACAGGTGACGCAGTGGAACTGCAGGTTCAGTGGCGCTCTGCGCTCCTGAACAACAATCGTTCGCTTGGTCGTATTTGGTTTATAAGCCATGACTTATCAGTCAACGAACAGTATTTTTCTCTCACACCAAACCAGCCAACGGTAATTTCAGCCATGGCTTATAACCTTTGAATCTGTGTCATGACGATTCACTGGCGTCAAAGGACATCTTTGTATAGGGGTGTGTTAGATGTTGGATTGGATGACATGTCAATACGTGATTCATGCATCAGCCTGAATGTTCTTCTGTGATGATTAAGAATTGCTTGTGAATGTTATGTATCGTGCAATAAACACATCGTCTGTACTCTGGATATATTTCTTACATCCATGAAGTAATCCCAACCTTCCTGCAGTGTTTTTTATCTCCGACATGTTCCAGTATCATTTTGGTTACTTATTAACTGCAATGTCACCTCGTGCAAACAGAAAAAGAAATAAGAAGAAATGGGCGAGTGCACTGTGTCCCGACAAGTCAGTGTCAGCCGCACAGTTTCCACACGACCAGACCAGAGGCCATGAGCACCACTCTTGCCTTAGCCACAGGCAGCACAGCATCTCCATCGATCCAAATGGCAGCCAGCAGCCATCCCCTTCCGGCTCCACCTCGGCAGCTCCACACCTCCACCTGCCGCCATCCTCGCAGCTCCTCACCATGGCTGCCACGCTCTCCTCCGTGGCTGCCCCTTCCCTCCCCAAGCACGGCTCCGTTATCAGAGCTCAGCAGCAGGCGCCTCCTTCCATCATCTCGGCATCAACTGTGAGTAGGGATGCGTCCGTTCTTGCTGTTTATTTCTGTGGTTTGTTTCTTGTGATGTGATCGCTGATGTTCGCATGCATGGTGCAGAAGACTGCCTTCCATGGGGTGTCGCTGGTGGACAGGAGGTGGGCGGCCGGCTACCGGAGAGGCGGCGGCGGGCGGCGGAGGCTGCTGCAGGTGAACGCAAGGACCGCCGCCAAGAACATCGAGGTGGAGGTCGACAAGCCGCTTGGGTTAGCCTTGGGCCAGAAGCCCGGCGGTGGCGTCGTCATCACTGTTAGTCCTCTTCACTTGCGTTTTCGTTGCTTCCTGTCCTTTTTTTCTGTTTTCTTTTGGAGAAAAGATTTTGCCCCGCTTTATTGATCATAAAGAGTTCAAGACAGTTAAGTTCCAGCGAATTGGCGCGCCCGCCACAAACAGAAAAGGCCTTAAAAGCCAACAGCACCACTACCCGAATACATTTTGATTACATTGGGTCACCATCAAGTCTTCATTCGTGTGATGACTGATGAGCATCCAAATAGCCCCGTCGCAAACGCAGAGCAGCCGGCGATCCCAGTCTTGAGCAGTTCAGAGTCCCGCCCTGCCAGTCGATTCTTGGCGGTCGAGTAGCCTGGTTTTGCAATTGTTGCACAAAGCTTCCACTCTCCTCCCTAGATCCTGGCTGTACATCGGTGTCCATCTCCCCAACATCTTGACAATCATCAGTAAGATACACTTCTCTCGCCTAACCAAATTGCTCCCTGATAGCACAAAGAGTTACGAAATTTCTACAGACACCACAAAAACGCTGAGCTAATGATATTGTACAATTCATGCTTTTTACTAGCAATAGCAACCCATCTAGCGGCCACATACTCAAAATTTACCACTTCCCTGGAATTTAGAAGTCCGGAAATAGTACTCCAGCAACATTTGGCCACACAACAATAAAAAAACAGATGACAAATAGACTCCCTCTCACTACAGAAAAGACAAGACTGGTCCAAGACCTCTCTTCTCTTGGCCAAATTATCCCTAGTATAAGTAACATGTTCTTAGTTAACAACCGCAAGAAAAATCTGAATCCGAGGTGGAATATTAATTTTCCAAGCAGCATGGACATACACTGGTATAACTCCTCTATGACTGCTCACCGCATACAAAGATTGTACTGAGTATTTACCATTAGAGCTAAAGCTCCAAATTATTTGATCTTCCTCCTCAGATTTATTCACCCCTTCCATTATCTCACTGTCAATTGGCTACTTCCTGTCCTTGTCTCCCGGTATGATCCTGGAATGCAGATTTCAGCCACGAACTGATGTTTCATAAATATACTAGTCACCTTGCTTCACTGAATTCAAAATTCTCGCACTAGTCATGATTTGAAGCTGAAGATCCAATTGTTAATTGCTTCTATGTAAACAACATGTTCACTTCAGTATGATTCTCTGAATCTGGAGGCAAGTATTGCAAACAGTAACTATGATTGATTTGTTTCTTCGGCGTGGGATTATTAGTCTGTGGAGTCTGGAGGGAATGCAGCAAGAGCTGGTCTGAAAGCTGGCGACCAGGTCTTGTACACAAGTAGCTTCTTCGGAGATGAGCTGTGGCCTGCAGATAAGCTTGGGTTCACCAAGACAGCCATCCAAGCAAAGCCAGACTCCGTCTACTTTGTTGTGAGCAGGTACACACTTGATCCCTTGGATTATCCTGGCTACATGGTTAGGGATTATGATTTAATATTGCTAAATTTAGTGAAATGATTATACTTCCCCCAAATCTCATCTGAGTGATCTCAGGGGTGCCGAAGTTGATGTGAAGCGCCTACCTAAGAGGCCGGCACCGCCTCGGTTTGGACGGAAGTTGACTGATGCACAAAAGGCAGGATCAGCATAACCATGGCTTTTTTGTTCTCCAACTTGAAGCCTCTGCATGTATTTTATAAACTGCAAATGTCCCCTTTTTCAGGAGAGAGCAACACACATCTGCCTTGATTGTGGATTCATATACTTCCTACCCAAGCCTTTTGAAGAACAGGTAAGCAATGCATCTCTCTCTCTAAATCAATTACAGAATTAGTGTTTACCTTTTCTGTTTATATCTAATTAAGTACTGTATTTTAGTATTCGTCTGATGAAGTTTAACCATTTTCTGTCTGGCTGCAGCCTGATGAATATGGTTGCCCACAATGCAATGCGCCAAAGAAGCGTTTTGCAAGGTACGATGCTGCCACTGGGAAGGCCATCGGCGGTGCGCTGCCGCCTATTGCGGTGATCATAAGTTTTGTAATCGGCATCGCCGGAGTAGGGGCTCTGCTTGTGTATGGCCTGCAATAGGCTGCTCATTCTTAGAACCAATTTTTGCTGTGCACAAGAAGCTCAGCTGACTGCTGCTGTACTCCATCTCACAAAACATTCTGAGTGATATACATAAAAGGGAAAGGAAATATACAATATTTGAGGCTAATGGCTTGTCTAATTTTCATGCACTATTGGTTATACAGTTACTCAATTTTATTACCGAAAGGCAGCACGCTTTTCAGAAATGCTTCGATTGTCAATGCTGCTCTCATCAGCATAGAGATTTTGTCACAAAAAGTTTCTACCACTCAGGTTCCAATCCAAACTTCAAAGATCAAAGATATAGGAATCATGTCATGCACAGATTCTAGAATCATACAGAAGCATCCTTTTTTCATGACCTGTAGAAACCAATGTGCTATATTCACTGAACTATGTGGTCAATCTGAACAAATTGTAATTTTGGCTCGTGACCGGTAACATAAGCTTTGCCAGTACCTTATCTTTTATCTATTACAATAAGACATATTGTACTGAGACCCATAACTACTCCCACTATGGGTTGACAGTTTTTGTGGTTGAAGTGATCCATGGTCCAGCTCATGATATGAGCCATCATTTTCAGCTTACTCAACCAGCTTTTAAGTCTTAATGGAGTCGATAAAAAGAATATTTTCTTCACTAAACCCTAGTTCAATTAGTTTGTGATTGTGACTTAAGCATGAGAATGACCTTACCTGCAAGTCCTTGTCTTCAGTGTCATCTTTCTCTGGGATCAGCTCATCTACCAGATCAAAGTTGGGCTCCTGCCCTACCCACACTCCAGACAGACAGACATCAGCATTACACATACAAAAGCAGAAGCAGGTGGTTAAAAATTAGTTGGAACAAGATTAGCATGAATCCATATATATACCAGGAACTTGTTAGGCCTGCATTGCCATTTGCAACAAGCAGTCTTCTGTTACTTAGAACAAAAAAAAAAAAAAATCTTCAGATACATATCTCAGTAGAACTGTAGAGGTGATCATGAGCTACTGGGGAAGCCCAGGCGGACCGCCATCGTGGGCGGCGAGCCGGGGGCCATCGCTGGTGGTGCCGCTCATCGTCGTGGTGGCACTAGGATGGGTCATCTGCCAAGAGACCCTGATGGGGTGGTACGAGACGGTGACGGAGTTGCAGGAGACGGTGACGGACAACGCCGTGCTCCTGGTCCTCGCCCTCGGCGCCGCAGCGCTACTGCTCACCTTGGCCGTGGCCGGCAACCGGAGCGAGGTGGTGCTGGTGCCGGTGGTGCTGGTGCCGGTCATGTTCCTCATCCAGAACATCGTGCTCACCGCTCTCCTGCTGCTGGTGGTGGTCTACTTCGCCGGCATATACTACTACCGGCCGGACAGAGGGTACGGCTACGGGTACGGGTACGGGTACGGCAGTGGTTTCGGCGGCGACTGGAGCGGCGGAGGGAGCACCGGGCTGGGGTTCTACATGCTGCTGCTGCTGTGCCTGGTGCTGTGCGCCATGTTCTCCGACGGCGGCAGCGGCTGGTGGATCCCAGGTGTGCTGCTGGTTGCGTGCGTGCTCTGCCTCAATCTCTTCTTCTCCGGCGGCAAAGTCTGGGGATATGGATACCCCTGAGTTCTCAGCATGCTTTTTTTTTTTCCAGGCAGTCTTGTTTCTTGCCTTATAACATGCCATATGATGGGGGGGGAGATGATCATTACAGTCTATTTGCCTAATGTATAATTAGTTTTGCTGTTGTAATTTTAACTTCAAACTTATACATACCGACTGATTTATCTCAGATACAAACTGATTTGCAAACCAGTGTTATGTGCAACTCAGAGTCTGGTTGGAAAAGCAAGTTGCTACTGTGAGCTATGTGAACTTACATGTGGCAGAACCACCCTAATTATATGATATGGCTCGCATACATCTGTCATTGTCCTTAAAACATCTTACTGCTGTACATAAGAGCCAGATAACTCAGGTAGTCTGTCGGGTGTCCTCGGAGAACCCCAAATCATCCATATTTTACAACTCATACAGGATCAACGTGAAGTTGCCACAACATTACAACATTTAGTGCAAAGATAACTTATATCAAAGTGCGAAAGAATTATAACATTAGTTTACAAAACATGTTCAAAGTCAAACTTAACTTAAGTTCCAAAAGATGAGTAGAAATTCAAAAGCAACTTAGGTGAAGCATCTAAGGTAGGAGAGACGACAAGATCATGTCGAGTCCACTGACATGACCTCCGCTAGCAGCATAAGTCAGATCCTACAACAAGGGTTAACAAACTCTAAGTACTTGAGGGTACTCAACAAGTTTTACCTGACTAAAAGAAAAGACTCCAAGGATATACAGGATTAAAGACAAGGTAGAAACAAGAATAACTTTTGCAGAAAAGCTTATTACAAGTGGATCCTTACTTTTAATATTTTAGCTTAGTATTAGGTGTATCAGTATCCAATTAGCACCTATTCTAGCTCAAGCACTTCATTAATCATACGATGAGTGGTTGGAGGATCGAGTCTCCATAACTGAGGAGCACGACGATTCGAATCGATTTGGCCCAGCTGGGGTTTTCTTACCACACGACATATGCAGGTCGTAGACCTACATATATCAACCCTCACTTGGATCCTCCAAAACATGAACGGGTCCAGCGCTACCCGAGAGTACAGTACTCCACCTCTCTACACCATTCGACGATGGATTCACAGGATGTGTACACGCTACTCTCAGCATCTCTCCACTCCCAGTGCGTGGTTGGCCTTTCACATAATGGAATATCCGAGGTATTAGGCTTACCGGAGTATGTGGCCAGTACTACAAGGTCTCGACCACAACAGGCCTACAACGAACGGTCCTTAATCGACATAGACGGAAGCACTACAGGGAGACTCCATTCTCGATGCAAGCCACCCGCCCGGTCTTTAACATTATCTTAATCATGGTATTCACAACCCATAACCAGAGTTGAGAAGAACAAGGTAAACCTTGTTTTCTCTTGAACGATGAAACCATCATTCGACTTCTATCGAAGTCTAAGCATTACTAAGCATAAGAGGTATCGATCTATTCATACTAGCAGGGTATAACTAAGGATATATGTATATCAAGGTAATCATGCAGCAACAATATTCGACTAACTCCTAATTACTTAATGCACATCTCACAAGACTTAAAGTGTAATAAAGATTTGTAAGCGCTATAGAAGGGTGGTATGCACCGGGGCTTACCTACGTTGCAGAGAAGGTTAGATCCCAAGGAAAGATCCAGTTAGTCAGACATGGCACCATTGGTGGATGAACCTTCTCCAAAACTTGATCAACATGAGCCTTCTCACTCTCGTATGCACTACACGTAATAAATGATGCTTTGCTTAACATGATGGACCACATGCCATGATGCATGATAAGAGACATTCAAGTGCATGACAGAAGTTGAACAAAGTTAAGAAAGTTGAGTACAACTTTCTTTCACCAAGGAACTAGGGTTTGTTTATTATAAAAACATTGTAGTTAATTAACTATCAAATTAATTAGTTGTTTATCATGAAAGGCATAACTTAACATGGACCAACAAGATTAACATGAAAAACATCTACAAAGCTTAACCTCCTACTCAACTATGGCATACAAGGAGCAATCAAGGCTTATAAACATGCATCTACTAATTAAGCATTTAATTGAGCTATTTATTTATTAAATAACAAGTTGATGATAAGCATATCAAGAAAGGAATTAAGTTGATAAGGAACAATAGGAGTTTAGTGTTCCAAAGTCTATAATCAACTCCAAAATACACCAAAGTCATTTTATGATTTATCCTAACTATTTAGGTATTTATTAATTAATAATTAAAGTATGTAATTAAATGGATAATTTAAAATTATCAAAACAGTTCCATAATTTTTATGAAGGCAGGTCTAAGCATGTAAAGCATACACAAAAAGTTTCATGATTAAAGCATAATTATTTTACCCTATAAAAGTCATGAAAGGTCCATTTATTAATTAAAAAAAGTAATTTTTAATCATACCAAAACTACTAAAAATGACTAGTTCGTATTTTTCCTAGATAGACAACAACATAATAAGGCTACACAAAAAGTTTCACAATTTTATCAAGCTTCTATAATTAGTTATGAAATAAACAAGATTCAACAATTTTAATCATTTCTGAAAAAAATATAAAATCATTTTTTTCTGCGCCTAAACTTTTCCCACTCCCTCCTCCTCGACCCACCGCCACTGACAGCGGGGGCCCGGGTCGCGCCTGCGCTTGACCGCGGTGCAGATGCCGTTGACCGGCGGGTGCTCGTCACCGGCGAAGTCTCCGGCGACGGAGCTTACCCCGGCGAGTTCCTATCCCACTCCCGCACACCCCTCGAGGGTCATCTCAGCATCTAGGGTACCGGAGCGGGCACGACCGCTGCCATGGCGGACGGCGGTGCTCCGGCCCGGCGGAACTTGCCGACGGCAAGGACTCCGGCAACGAAAACGGTACCAACAGTTTCCCCTTGACCACGCGAACAAAACTACGCTACCGGTTGAAATAACTCGAGCTCGGTTCGTGCGCGACGGCGGCTATGGCGGACGGCGGAGCAGAGCTTGCCGGTGCGGCGACGTTCCGGCTACTCCGGCGTGGTAGAGATAAAACGGGCGGAGCGGTTTGCACCAGGAGCTGACCCCGAGTCATCTGCGCTAGCTGGTTGAGTCGGAGGCAGCGCGGATGATCACGCCAGCGGTGAGGACGAGCGCGACGGCGTGAACTCGGCGGCGAACGCTCGTTCCGATGTGACCTGTACGGTAGAAGTAAAACGGATAAGATGAAAATCTTTGGGGTACCCATATGAGTACCAAACACAAGAGATAAGGCCGAGAGGGCAGCTGACGATGGTTGGCTATGGTGAGGTCGAGCTCGGCGGCCATGGCGAGGTCGCCGCGGCGGGAACTGGCGCCAGGGGCGATTGCGGTGGATATAGGTGGCGCGAGCGGGTTGAGTGGATGCGCAAGGACAAGGAGATGTTATGGGCACGGGCAATTGAGCTGGGGTGCAACGGTGGCGGCCAATTTGGCCCGGCTAGGCGAGCGGTGCTGGCGGCGAGACAGAGATGGAAAGGAGGAGAGGCGGTCGGCGGCTCGGGCTAAAAGGGCGAAGGCAAGGCGTCCGCGCGCGACAGCAGCTGCTTGAACTCGACACCGCGAGCAGCTGCGTGTCCGTGCGTGCATAGGCAGTGATCGAGGGCGGTGGCGTCGGCGGTGAGCAGACTGCTGCGTGACAACTGCTTGCCGACCTACTGTTCACGACTGACAGACCCTTTTCCTCCCTCTCGTTCTCGTGTTATTGTAAAACAACTTGATGAGCGCCAGTAAGCAAAGTTGTTCATTGATCTATGATCTCCATCTTTGCTTAAAGGGCCAACATAAAAAAATGAATACATTTTGTGATTTTGAATATCAAACTAGGGTTCAGTGAAACTGACAAACTGAATCCAGTTTCAGGTTTTGAAACAGTTTTTGATTAGCAACTTTGGACAATTAAATAGTGAACAAACAGTTATCCAACATATCAGCCAATTACATGGTAACATAGCTCAAACATAGCATCAAGCAATGGAACAAAGTTTGACCAAATTTTACTTATGAAAATTCATGTAATAATTCCCCAAAGTTTGAAATCACTAACTGCATTTCAGGGACTTGGCACCAAGGCTAAGTGTGAGAAATAATTAGTGAATTCAATCTTGGAGCTCAAATTTGAACATATTTGACTTAGAAATATTATCAATCTTTGATTCCACATTATAAAGCACACTTTGTACTACAACTTTTATTTTAACAAAATTTTACTTATTTAAGCAAATTCACATATTTAAATTAAGAAAGTTTCTTAATCACTTTTATTGGCATCATTTCATGCAGCATGTAAAACATGACATATACAGCATATGAAACATATGAATGCTATAAATGAAACATGAGTTGCATGAATGAAACATCACTTATGCAACATATCATATGAATGTTATACTTGAAACATAAATTGCATTTATGACTCAATGCTTGGTGATTTTGCTTCATGATGCACATGATCAAGTTTTAATTGCTTTTTAACATCTTTTTAACATCTGGAATGTTACATTACCCATCTCTTTATCTTGCTTAAATCAGCTATAAAACATCTCTCTGTTTTCATCCATTTGGAAAACTGAAAGTTGAAAGCCAAAAGCAGGATCCAGGGTGTGCGAAAATTGTACCACGGGGAAGCATCAGCTTCTGAAAAATCAGCTTCGGGTTCTACCCACTTGGTTGACTTTCCGCTTTTTGACAGCAAAAGCACTTTCTAGAAGTTAATCGAAACACAGCCTCAGTATCACACAGACATACGGAGTATATCATAATTTAGAAGACTATAAAGTCTTCACAGATAGATAGATAGATGGATAACATTGGTAACCAGTTACATAAACAGGTACATAGTTCACAGATCCCCAGTGGATCAAATGATCTATTTCTCATGAACAAATGGCATAAAGCTCAGCTGACAATAGCTGTTTGGCAACTATTAAGAGACTTTAAGAAGTGGCAGCCTCCTCCTGGAGCTGCTTCACCTTGGTGATGTAG